GGCTTGTTACCACAATAGGTACTCATTTTCTTTGTAACCGTTTAAGGTACTTTCACCCTAATTATAATAAGTTCTCTCAACAACATAATTAATTTTTGTTCCCTGAAAGTCATTAAGTGTAGACATTAAATGAGCCGTATTATAAAGGATTTGTTTTGCCACAACATTGTTGAGGCAATCACATGAAGAGACAGAATTCGGAATAAGATTATCTGATTAGATATTCCAAACAACAACATATTTAATACATTCAATGTTATGGTGAATAATTAATAAATTCGTGTTTGTCACATCAAGGTTGATTCAATAAATCTGATCTCCAGTTTTCCACTCAATCTGAAATTCTTTGCTTAGCTCGCATAAAAATCATCAGAGCAGAGTAGCTGAACTTGACGATCTAGAATAATAAAGAGAAGTGAAGAGTTGAGTGAATCTATCTCAAAGACCTTTTTAACTATTTCATTACATCCAATAAAGTTGAGTACGAGGGTTTAAAGAATCCCATAGCAGTAATCACGATCGGTTGATATGAAAGTTGAACACTCAGTTGAAACAAAAGTCGATTTTTCTTTTCCTGAACGATATTCAACCATCCACTGTTGAAAATTTTATCTTTAATGTTCTTTGATTCTAATAAAATATTTTCAGAAGCTGATGAAGCAATCAAAAGATCGATGATGACATATAAGGCGTAATTAAGTCGGGCAACAAACTTAATTGACATCAAATTGTCTACTGAATAAATCTCATATGCACTTGTGCTCAAGATTATTCCTGCCGTAATCATTTGATAGAAAAGTGGAAATGACAAAAGGTTTTTTATTTTCCGAGCAGTGCTGAAAATTATTTCCATCGCTTTTAATTTCATTCGACATAAAATATTTTTGTTTCTCACCTTAAAAGTTTTTGATGATGGTCAATTAATTTTTTGAACTCAGAAACTGCCTTTTCGTTGTCATGCTCATCGAAAACTTTTTCAAATGCCAACCCTAAAATCTTAAATTCAACACTTAAATATTCCAGGATTGTGTTTACATAAAGAGTTGTTGCTACAACATTAACCCCCGAAGCAAGAGTAGCAAAGCATGAAATAACATAACATGTTAAAAAAATGATCAGTGGTAGAGAAGCAAAGTCTAAAGGTACGTAAGATGGTTGGGGGAATCGATACGTGCCGTAAAAAATTAGCTCAATTATGGGAAAGATAAAGAAACTTCCGATAACCATGTAGCCCTGGGTATGAAGACAAACAACTGAATAAAGATTCCTTCGAAACTTTTTTGCTCTCAAAGCATTGAAAGCTCCATTAACATCTTGAAGTTTCTTCTCGTTAATGAAATTCATGACTTCGAAATGCTCATATCTGTTGAAATACTGAAGACGACATATTAATAAAGTCAATAGCGATGAATTAAATTGTTAATCTTACAAACATTAAGAATCTGACCAAACCTGTCATAAGAATAGCAGCTGTACTCATATTTTCACCCACTCCACGGATATTTCCGACTATCAAGTGATTGTAGACATCCCAAAATGATGTTATGTAAAATAAAATAAAGGACAAAATTGTTAAATATTGAAATGCTTTATATGATGTTCCTTTATGCCAAACAGATAGTCCAGTAGTCCATATGAAAGCAATATTATGCTTAAATAAATTTGTTTCCTGATTAAATTTGATTAAACTGTTCCAAAAGTTTCCAACCGTCATCGTGAAAAGCTGACAGAAAATTGAACTCTTCTTTTAAAAGAGTTTTGGTTTATTTGCCATCGTTAGCGTGGGTGGACCAAGCGAACCAAATTACATATTAATGAAAAGATTCGGCTACCTTATAAATTACATTTTTAAATTACTTTTCATGCAGGAAAAATCATCAATAAACATTCAATTATGGATTAAATTACAAGTGTTACATAAATATTATAAATTGGTTTAAATTCTATTCTTTATAACATTCAATTACCAAATTTTATTCGTGTCTGTTACCATTAAATAAATATGGAATTAATTTTTCATCTGCTTGAGAAATCCGATTTTGGTTGAAAGCTTAAAACAATTGCTTGCATGATACAGAATGTGTATGTGTGTATGAAGCATAATATTTCAATTGGATTTTCGTGAATAAAGTTTATTCATCGTTTTCACAACAAAACCGACGTCGACATTTTTGTCGGTACGAGATCCTAATTGAATTTTTTTATTTAAGTTTTAGGACCAATAAAAGCAATATTGTGCAATGTATGTTCCAATTTTCCCCGATGGGCTTGAAAACATCCGATTTAGAATTTGTAAGAAAGTTTTTGTGTATAGAAAAATTCAATTTAACAAAAAAAATCTGAGAGACCGTTTCAAAAGTAATGGGAAGCATCAGACAATAATCCAATTCCATTGCTCGTGCACAAGGCTTAGAAAAAAAAAACTTTTATTCAAATCACATTAATCCTCTTTAACATTAATTGAGTTGAAAAAGAAAAAGTAAACTCAAGACACATGTTTTAGCAAAAATTGCTATGTAAATATATGTAAGCTTCACAGAATATTAAATGACTTTGATAAGCTTTGATTATTTATTTATCTTTTCCAAGAGCAATTCTAAGATTAAACTTTTAAAAGAAGCGTTTTAGAAAAGGGTTGTGAATCTTTTAGATGTTTTTATTGCTGATATTTTTATACTTCTCACATCTTAAAAAAAAAAAAAAACAATAAATAAAAATTATGTATCAAATAAAAGATGTGGAAATCTATACTTTTTATGTAAAACATAATCAATCACTGGAAAAATAATAAAACAACTAATAATTTTGTAAACCATTCCTTCAAAAAAAGAGATCCATGTATAAATTTTCAAGAAACTTTTTTCTTTATGTTAAAGGGTTTTCCGGGTCGGGTTTTCTTCGGGTTTAAGTACGGTCTTTTCGTCGAAAAACCCGAGCACGGTCTTCCGTCGGGTTTCGGGTTTTTGAAGACGTACTAACATACGAACAAAATCATACAAAATATTCGAAAAAATGAAAATTAATTTTATATTTTTATTGAAAAATGATATATTTTTGTAAAGTGGATAAAAATTTCCTTCTTTGTTTTGGTTACTATGATTGAAAGCAACATAAAATAAAAGAAAAGTGTATTAAGATGCTACGAATTGAATAAATTGTAATTATTTTTTAAATTTGTTTAAGATAACAAGAAAATTCGTGATTGAAAAGTTTCTGAAATTCAGTTTACTCAACGATTAAATGAACTTATGATTATGGATTATCTTCATCTATGTCTCGCAATTTTTTTGTTGGTTTGTTAATTTATGAATTCATTTGAAAAACAAACACTTTTTAAGATTTTCAAAGGAAATCTTCTCATAATTGTATTTTTTCTAAAATTTTATTTATATGATCAAAACGAGACAACTTAACTCTTTAACATAATTCATAGAAAGCACGTAATCTCAATGTATTGTGATTGAAAGCAAATTATTCCAGCAACGTCACTGAAAGCCAAAATACAGTTCCAAAAATGCGACTTCCATCCATTTTTCAATAAATGAAGAACTGAACAAAATCATTAAGATATCAATTACCAACGCATAATACCGCAAAGTATTCTCAACTCTCAGAAATTCTATGTTTCATTGTTTAGTGAACATCAAGGTCAACATTTTGATTCAAAATGTCACTAGAAATTTTTAAAGCATAGCAAAACCCCTGTAATTGCTTCATTTTCTTTCATAAAATATAATAAAGTAATTAATTATTGACGAAAAAAATATATTTTTAAATGATATTTTCATGATTAATTCACATTTTTCAATATTAAATAAAACCCGACCCGACCCGAAAACCCGCGGGTTTCTTTAAAACCCGACCCGAAAATTCGGGTTTTTTAAAATACGGGTTTTGGAAAACCCTAGTTAAATATCATTTTTTCAACCAGGTTTTTGAAGTTTTCTTGCTTTTAAGAATTCTACCTAGGATTTCAATATGGTCGTTTTTGTTGATAAACTGAAAAGTAATTTTTTCTTTAATGGAACATTTGAAAATGATAAAGTCTTACACATGTCACATATCTTATCGTCTCACATGCTCCATCAAAATCTTCTTGGAAGGAAAGCTTAAAAAAATCCCAAATAACAACAATCCAAGGGATGATATAACTAGTAAAAGTGCAAACTCGTACTACAGTATATATATCGAAAGCTTTTATGCCAAATAGATAATCGACTTATCCAATAGAAGAAGATATTGTTAGCAAATAAATTAGTATGGCTATCAAATTTTGTAATACGAGCCCATGTATGAGTTAAAAAGTTTCCAACTTTTATCGTGGATAAATGAATGACATGCAGACTTAAATAATGTCTTACCGTAAAGTGTCGTGGAACTTTAATTTTTTTTGGGGGGAGAATAAATAATTTATGAAGTCGTTGATGTCTTTAAGAGCTATGATTTAAAAATAATATATAATAAGCAAATATTTGCAAAGAGTGCAGTTAAAAATAGGGATGAGTTCCTTTTCATTCAAGTTTTAAAGTTGAAACTTTCTGATTTCTTATAAATATTCGAGATATTTGATTAAATAGGATTATGATCTCTGTTCAATAGCATCGTTCTTCTTCAACAAAAGAACATTGTTTTATAAAAGAAATTTTAAACAGTTTTATGAGTAATTAAATATTTACAAATGTCCAAAAGAACTAATAAATAATTCCCTGATATCATGACGATAATTTTGATTTCAATCTTTACATAGCTTTCGACATCGTCATGCACTAATTTTAACCGCTCCAAAATTTTCAAATTGTTTGGACGAACAACAGGATTTCTAAACGTATTCCAAACTTCAAAAGCAATTTCAACGTAAACAAAAACTAAAAATTAATTTTTAAAATGTTTTCCTCACAAAAACGTTTAGAAAGCCTACGAGAGCACTTTCGTACACATAACAAAATAAGAGAGCAAAGACAACATTCATCTAAAGTGCACACAGTTCGTTGGAATTGTGATGGCAGGAAGTTAGCTAGCGGCTCAAATGATAAAAGTGTAAATATCGCTCTAAAAGTTCTAAATCATTTTTCTATGTTTCTGTTCTTTAAAGGTTGTAGTTTTTTCATTGGATCGTGAACGACTGACAAAAGATCGAACATTTTATGGACATTCTGGCACAGTTGATCAACTCACGTGGCATTCTAAAAATCCTGATCTCGTTGCAACAGCTTCAGGTGACAAAACCGTTCGCATTTGGGATACAAGAGCACAGAAAGTACTCAGTATAATTAACACAAAAGGGGAAAACATCAACATTACATGGTCAAGTGATGGACACACTATTGCAGTCGGGAATAAAGAAGATCTCATCACATTCATCGATACAAGAACAAATAAAATTCGAGCTGAAGAGAAGTTCAACTTTGAAATTAACGAAATTATGTGGAATAAAACGAGTGACCAAATGTACCTAACAAGTGGCCAAGGATGTGTACATATTCTCAGTTATCCAAATCTTGAAGCGCAACACGTTTTGAAAGCTCATCCTGCGACTTGCATTTGCATAGACTTTGACAACACCGGAAAGTACTTTGCTATAGGATCTGCTGATGCTCTTACCTCTATTTGGGATGTTGATGAACTTTCATGTGTACGAGTTCTTTCAAGATTAGATTGGCCAGTAAGAACAGTCTCGTTTAGTCACGACAGTAAATTGCTTGCATCAGCATCAGAAGATCACTTCATCGACATCGCATTCATCGAAACAGGAGAAAGAGTTTGCAACATTAAACTCGAATCAGCTACATTTTCAATCGCTTTTCATCCAAAACAATATCTTCTCGCTTATGCTTGTGATGACAAGAAGGATGAATCTCGTGATGCTGGAAATTTCAAAGTTTATGGTTTCTCTGAATAATTTCGAGTTTTAAGAATTAGAAGAATTTTTTCTAAAAAATCTTTATTTAAAATAAACTTTTTAAGACCAAGTTTCTTCATGATATTTTCCATCTTTAATCATACGTTGAATGAATTCTTTGTCATTTATTGCATCTTCAAGGGCTTCTTTAACAGCTGTTGGCATGTTTTTTGAACTTCCCGATACATAGAAAAATCCCCCTCGTTCAACTAAAAGATTTTTCAGCATTTTTCCTTCTTTCTCAATCAGATGCTGAACGTAACTAAACGAAATAAATTTTTTAAAAAATATTAAAACAAATTTAGAACTGAAATCTTACATTTTATCTTCTTGATCTCTTGAGAAAGCGCAGAAAAGTTTAAGAATTCCTTCCTGTTCAAATCGTTTCAATTCGTCTCGACAATGGAAATCTTTTTCTTCATTTCTACAGCCAAAGAACAAGACAAACTTCTCATTACGAGATTTCTCACTGAGTTGGTAATCTTGAAGAATTGCTCGGAAAATGGAGAGACCAGTTCCAGGTCCAACCATTACCATTGGTGTATCAGCATCCGTTGGGAATAGAAACGATCCTTTCTTAATTGAAACTATTACCCGATCACCAGCATTCAATGACTTCAACCAATTAGTACACAAACCTTTTCGTGGCTCCTTCAACCTTGTCTGATACTCAACAACAGCTATGAGAAGGTCTAAACGATTTGTTAACATACTCGAAGCAATTGAATAAGGTCGTGGTTTGATTGGTTGAAACAATTCGAAAAGCAAGCTAAGATTTAATTTAGAAGTTGCATGTGGAAAATCTTGAAGCACTTCAAGGATTGTTCGTTTTGGACGATTAACATAAGTTAATAAATCTTCCTGTCCTTCAAAACTTGCAAACTCGAGAAGTTTTTCTTTCTCTAATTCGTTTTCGCAATTATAAGCGAGAACTTCAAATGCACGAGGTCTGGGTAAGGCATTGAGATCCCAATACTGTGTAGCAATAGTAATCAAAAGTAGCTTTTGTCTTAACATTGAAGGTGCTGGCATTTCTGTAATTAATTTGTGAGAAAAGATGAAAGTTTTAAAAAGGGCAATTCAATGTTGGTTTTATTTTTCGATCTCAATAAAGTTAAGCATAAAATTCATTCAATGTCTTCTTCCTTCCATCCATCATCATCTGATAAAAATCTTCTTTTTGCTGCTGTATTCATATATGGACGATAAACCCATTCAGTGTCAGCTGCTTTCTCTTCATCAACAGTTCCAAGTTTAATGTGATACAATCGAAGTTGAAAACGTGGACCAACTTCAGTCAATTCCAGATTTTTATTCACATATTGGTAATTGTGATGACGGAAACTTATATAGTCGTCATGGTTAGCGAAAGTTATAACACGTTTTGAATCTTCTTTGGGAACAGGGAAAAGATATTTCAGAACCGACATTGTTCGTTCTCCAAGCTTCGTTTTAAAATTGTGAAAGATTAAATGAGGTTTTGCTTCGGAAGCTGGACAAACATCAGGAATAGAATGGCGTGTAACCACAGATGAAAGATTGAAATATGCTGTTGGTCCATATGGCAGATGACACACAACAAGATTCGTTGGAACACCGCGAACCTCATGAACGACAATCAAATCTGTTGCTTCATTAGCTCTACATGAATGAACGAGTTGTTTAATATCACAATTTCCTCTGTTTACTTTTTGTGAGTTTGGAAAAATCATTCGAAGTTCTTTGACAAACTGTTTAAGTGTTGCTGATGGATTATGAGACGTTGTTATGAGAATTTTTGGATCTTCACATCCAGCGTATCTGTATTCATCATCTTGAGAGTTAGCTGTGTTTGCTCCACCACTAACACCACTCATTAAGCTTGCTTCTTTTGGTCCGTCATCATTCCATTTGAGTTTCTTCTGAAGATCTAGAGCATCTTTTCTTAAATCTCCGTGGATTGGAACATGATCTTCCAGACTTTTCTTGATTCGATCTTTTTTATCCTGAGTTTTTTTATGTCTGATTTCAGCTGTTTTACGATACAAATATTCACGTCGTAATCTTGCTTGTCGTCTTAGCATTTTTTTCAATTTTTTAATATAATTGACAATTTAAATGAATATTTTGAGGAGAATTTAATAAACACGAGTTTGAAATGAAGCCGTTCGATTCAATGATGCCGTTCGATTCAATGATGCCGTCGACTCTTACGACGGCGTCAATTTAAAAATTGTTCACATTAAGAAGAGTAAACCTTGAGTCTATGTGTTTAAGGTCTAGCTTTGTTCACTTGCGTTCTTCAGCAGAATTTGTAAACAAAAAAAAATTCTAAATTTGAATGAAGGAAAGAAATGAGTTTTGAATTAGTTTCTACGTAGATTTTAGAAAAACCAATTTTTTTAACAATGGAGACAAAAGGAAAAGCATCATCATCTGATTGTTTTTGGAATAAAATTGAAAGTGAATATGGAGAAATTCCAAATTTAGTAAAATTAATTCTCGACATCAACGGTTTCAACTCCTTTCTTGCACTTAAAGGCATTCGTTGCGATGACAAACAAGAATTCTTTCAATCTCTTGAATTGACAGTCATAGAATTCTTAGGATCGGAGGGTGAAAGTATTTTAAAAGCAGAATTCGAGGCCGAAATTGCTGCACAATATCAAAGCAGTGTAAATTTTAGATTGAAACCAGGACATCGAAATTACATCCTCAATCTTATGTTACAAATAGAAAAAATTGACGCAAATGATTTCTTTGGAAAACAAATTAGTGAAATGTCACCAATAAAAACAGTTTACAAGTCAAAGAATGAATACATTCAAGTTCCACCACTTCATTTTGCAAAGAAAGAAAATAAATCAGAATCGTACATGCAATTAAATTCGTTAGATCACGGTTACTCACGTGATGAAGAGGAACAAGAAGATTACGAGTTTGATGAGGAATATCTCACTGACGAAATGGACATGGGTTCATATGAAACATTTAAAGTAGAATATGATGCAAATGAGAATCAAGAAACTAAACGAAGATCTTCAAGATCAACAGCATCAAATTCAAAACGAAGACCTGAATATATGTACAATGACGAGTTCATGGCAAAACAAATCAATCCTCGTCGAAGAAGGGTGACTTTAAATAAAAATTATCCACCAACTGATGAAGGAATAAAAGAAAGATTTGGCGACCTTATCAAGCAGGTAAAAGAATTCAAATTTGATGTGAAATAAGAGTTAAGTTAAATTTTCTTCTATTTTAGAGCATGGAATGCATTCTACCTAGTGAAAAATTAAAACAAGTAGCAAATGTTCAATTGAATATTGAGAAAGAGTCTGACGCATCATGGGCAGTTTATTGTCCACTTTGCCATACTAGAATTCGACTTCCAGTCGTCAAGGAAAATGGTGGTCGATATTGTAATTACAAACGTTCAAACTTCGAACGACATCTTCGTTTTAAACATCCTAATAAAAAAGATGCATACGAAACAGTGGAATTGGAAGTAGAAACGATTGATGAAAGTAATATGGTTTTCCCTGATTAGTATTTTTAAATATTTTAACTAAAAATTGTAACTTTTCCGAGATCGAGTCTAATAAAAATATTTTTAATGCTCACCGTCATCAATTTGTTCTAACATCACGCAATCATTTGGAAAGATGTTCAAGTCATGTTCTTTGAAGATTTCAAAAAGCATCTTAACACTCTCTGTTGAGTTTTGGGGACGAATGTAAGCGACATCACCAGGATTCCATGTAAGCGAACATCGGCAAAACGATATTAAACGAACGTCTTGAAAATGTTCCTCAGCAGTTGTTCTTATGTTTTCCTTGAATTAGATTGTCAATAAATATTTAAATCAGACTGATGTTTCCTTACCACAACTTCAACGTAGCCGTCTTCTGAAGATTCATCGAAATCAGAATAAATATCAAATTTTTCGTCGCCCGATTGAAAGGTTTGACATTTCTTCACATTCCATCTACAAAATCTTGGTGTCACAGACAAAGGATTTACACCTATTGGAAGTGGTTTTATCTCTAACACTTTCTCCCAAAAACTTTTAAGCCATGGAAATAAAACAGCTCCAACACCTAAGTCATGTTGGTCATCACAAAGTCCAACAGGTTGAAGTGGTGCAGCACCAAGTTGCATCAGTCTTTTATGCAAACGTTTAGCTACAAAATTAAACTTTTGATAGCTTGAATCACCCAAACCAAGAACTCCAAATTGTAATCTTTCGAGTGAGTCTGCTGGAAGATTCTTGCGTAATAGAAACTTCCAAAACTTTTTCATGTTATCTGGTTCCTCTGAAATAATTTGTATGGATGGACAGTCAAGGATTTGATCTTTAATTACTCACCTCCTTGTCCTGTTGTTGAGCAAACGAATATTACAATTTCTTCTTCGATCAGCTGTTTCACATCATAATCGTTCATTGACTTCACATTGCCTTTGAGATGAAATCTTTTTGACTCTCTCCAGATATTTTCACTAATGTCCTGTGCAGTTCCAGTTTGGCTTCCATAAAGTATCAGAATTTTCCTATTCATTTTATATTAGTAGATTAGATACAACAAAACAATGATAAATCGACTTTTTTTAGATCATTGTTTAAATTTGTAAATAATTAGCAAAGACACAAACCAAAAAACTTAACGAATGAATTTTCAAATGTTCACGGTCTTAACAGAAATGTTGCACAAAATCTAATATTTCTTTGCACATAAACATGTTTAATTTCAAATCATTTGAATAAAGAATATAGTTTGAGAACAAGCTGGTTTCCTTTATAACTTCATGTATTAATTTTTCAGTTAATCTTGGAGAAAGTTTTAATCAAAACTTACACTTTAAATAGGTAATAATTTTAACAAACTTTTATCATAGCAACTGTGTTGAGTTTTCGTGTCAACACAGAAACGAACGATTTTGTCAAACAACACGAACAATTGTGTTGACAATTTTACCAACCCAACTGTATGATAATTTATGTAGATATTGGTAAAAAATAAGAATTTGCTTATTAAGTTTTCATTAAGACGTTATGATTTTATTAATTTCATCAACTATATTTTCACTTCCCCCATGTCAATACTTTAACTTAACATGTCAAGAGAATCATATTGTCTTATCATATGATTCGAGGTGAAGTTATTGCTGCTGTTGTTGTTGTTGAAGCTGCTGTTGTTGTTGTTGAAGCTGCTGTTGTTCCAGATCCTGCTGCTGTTGTTCGGGAACATTAAGCTGCTGTCGTTCCTGTTCCTGGTGCTATTGCCATGCCCGGGTATTTCGTCCCGGACGACGACGAATGCCATGAGAACAACGACGAATGCCATGAGAGGGTCGGCCGCGTCCTAAGTATGGAGGTACTAAGATAAGAAATAATTTATATTAAATTACCTACATTATAATTTTTTTTTATAGTTACCAAGTCGACGAGGTTTTCCGCGAAGCAGTAGTAGATTAAGTTTTCTAACATGCCCCAAAAAATATATGAAACTGCGAAAGAAAATTAAATTTATTCGTTTAAGTTTTATTAAAAGATCTTACATTCGATATCCTCCACCTCTCCCTCCACGACTTGCTCCAGGAGTTCCTCGTCGCACTGGATTTTTTTGTCGATCCATATTTTGTGTTTTAATTCATTTTTTTTTACTTGAAATACGTTTGCGCGCAAAATTCTCAACTTTGGAATTGTAACATCCGGTATTTTCGCTTGAACCGGTCGAAGGTTTGGACTCTGGGATGCATTCTTGGAAATAGAGAGATAGTGCGTGGATGTCAAGGATAAGTTTTCAAAGCTCTGCTGCAATCCATTCTTAGGTAGGTAGTTGAAAATTTGACTTGAAAAACATGATTATTATAAAGAATTAAAATTTTTAAATTGCTTTTTTCTGTGAAGTTTTGAAGTAATTTTTTGTGAAGAATTCTTCATGATTTAAAAAATCAGTAAACTTCGTGGAAAATTCAATTTCCCGCATTGACGTTAATAAAAATGAAACTTAATTTAATGAGGTATTTGCTTTATAAACTGAGAACTTTTTAAACTTATGATTTCCAACCAGCTCTTGATTTTATCACAGACCTCTGATTGTCATCGATAACATTAACAGCGCTCGTATCGGTGAAATTTGTTTGAAAGCTGCTAAGATTGAATGTCATAAGGAACATGTTGTGTGTTTCATTGTCTAATTATCCTCGTAAATCGTTCAAATATTAATTGTGGGTGGCTATAACAAAAATCACATCTTATTAAAACTACAAAGACGAAATCTTCAACATTTTTATTAATTATTTTTGTTATGAAAGTTACCGGTATAATCTCCAAAAATTAAAATTAATTATCATTGAGTTCAATGTAAAGTTTCAAACAAGCCTGACCTGAGAGATTACAGAAGTTGATAATCATATTCTCAAATACCTTTACCCTTAAATATTCGAAATTGTGAATGAAATTTATTCATCTTTTCTTAATTTCTTGCTTGATGTTTCAATTGCCTCTAGCCAAGTTTTTAATTCTTCTGGTTGTTGTGGTCGTTCACCACTTACAAATTCTTTCATTAATTCCATAACATTAACTTTAGTCACACATTGCTTTGACATTGCAACTGCTCTTACAAAACCATCGAAAGTCACGAATTTTTGTTCTAAATAAATTGCTTTGTCGTCCCACCAAACAAGTTCAGTTTCAATTTTATACGCATTGAAGATAGGAATCGTTCGACGATATCGAACCGAGCTTGCACCTTGAACAGCACCACCGCCATGCTTTTTGATAGCAGCATAGATACCAGTTAATCCGTAAAAATGGAATCTGGCAAAGTCCAACTCGCGCAGATATCTGGCATTGTTCATGTGACGTATGAAGATATCTACGTCTTGTGTTGTACATAAACCTGGACGATTGATAATTGAATTTAAATGCTTTAAATAGGAATCTTTCATATTAAAATGAGATCTTTTTCCTACCATAAATTGTAGTTTTTTCAGTCACTTTACGCTTCTTTTGAAAGAAGTGAGCGAATCCTAAAGTGAACAGACATCTCAGGAAGTAGTTAAAATCCCAAATTGCATATAAAATAAACATAAAAGTTATGAGCTCCATTCCTATGAAAAAAAAATTGAAATTACAAAAATGTTAATTTCTAAACTTTGACTAAAGGCAAAAGGTTAATCAATTTTCTTTTGTTTTTAAATGGTATTAATCTGCATGTATGGGTGTAACAACAAATAACTTGGATTAAAAGAATTTAACAAAAGCTTCTCCTACTTAACCTTAAGATTAATTTACTTAAAAAACTCACTTGAAAGTTATGTGCGTTCAATTTCCTTTACAATCCTTACTTTAACGACTTCGTTATAGGAAATACGATTAGAAAACTACTGGACACGTCTTGACTTCTGCCGACTACCTGTGTCTTATACAATAATTTCGGTGTTGCTTAAAGAGTTAATAAGTTTTATCAGGGCTCAAAACTTTTTGAAAATTATTGATGTTCAAATAGATTAATTACTAATGACATTGACATAAGAAGAAATCATCGAATGCATTCGATACATTAATGTTCCGTGATGGGCTTACTTCTAGTTTAAATTAATCCAAACTATAAAAGATGAAACATAAAATATTTAATAATTCAAACAAGTTCTACGCCCTGAATTAAATGCATACATTGAAGATATTTTGGTTGATTTCATTTTCTTCGATGTGTTGAATAAAAACGGTGAAAGCAAAAACCAAGACTGGTTTATTTATATCTCTTCAAAATTTTCTAAATTAAAATTCGTATATTTGGAGCATTGTTTGGAAGATTTTTGATGGATAAGCTTTTGGAATCGTAGAGAAAATGAGCTTCAGTTGCATTGATTTTTAGTTTTCATGTGATCAGATTAAACACTTGTGTTTGTTTCAGGTGGATAGAATCTTTGATTATTTAGAAAACATATTTGATTAAATAGCTTTTTTAAACAGACGACCGTAGCAGAAAATGTGAAAGTGAACAATAAATAACCGAATGAAGAATGATCAAATTGGAAAATATCTTTTCCGAATCACTCGAGATAGATCTGCGTAACATGAACCTCGCTATAACGTAACTAGGACTTGATGAAGTTAAACCTCTCTGTTGGCTTGTTTACAAATTTATTTGCATAAAAAAAAATTTCAGTGTTTTTCAATGTTTTAAAATTCAGATTTATTTAAATCTTCAGATACTCAACTAAATGTTACTCGCACTATATGCAGCTGTTCCTTTCTTATTGTATAATCAGTAACAAGTCACGATAAAATTGAAATCAATAACTCACCAAATTTTGATCAAAAATGTCGCTTATTCGTTTGGGTGATTTTAAAGCCTTCGCTAAATTCGTGTCTTTTCAAGCTCTTGGAGGAATAACGACTTACTACCTCATGAATCCTCGAGTGAAAAAAGAAGTTTCAAGTAATGATCTGATTGTGACAACCGGCTGTGACTCTGGCTTGGGATACTCGATAGCAATTCATTGTCACGATATCTTAAAAATGTCAGTTGTGGCTTGCGTACAACATTTTAACAGCAAAGGCTCACTTAAACTGAAAGAGATGTACACAAATTCCAATAGATTTCACATGGTCCAACTTGATGTGACTAAGCTTGATAGCGTGAAGGAAATGAAGAAATTTGTTAGTGACTTGCTAGAGAAGAACCAAAACTTGCGTAAGTTTCTTGGAATCCAAAATGTTCTTAAACATTAAATTGTATTAATTTGTATAGAACTGAAAGCTCTTGTTAACAATGCTGGAGTTATGTGCTTCGGTGAAACAGAATGGCAAACACATCGAATCATCACTCAACAAATTGAAGTGAATTTGCTAGGATCAATAAGAGTGACAAAAGAGTTTTTGCCATTGGTGCGTACACACAAGTCTCGAATCATTAACGTAACTAGTCATTGTGGATTGCAATCAATTCCTGGACTTCCAATCTACTGCGCATCTAAAGCTGGACTGAAAGCTTTTAATGATGGTCTAAGATTGGACATGAAAAAATACGACATTGATGTTGTTAATTTTATTCCCGGTTCGTTTGTCTTACAAAGCAACATCACATCATCTCAACCAGCATTCATTGATGAAATGAATGGAGAATTTTCAGAAGAACAAAAAAGTTTTTATGGAGATTATTTTGATCGATACACAAAAGCACTAAAAATGTTTTGTGGTGATAAAAGTCCACAGAAAGTTGATCAACTTGTTTTGGAATCATTTGAAGAGGCGCTTCTTGAGAATCCATCAAAAGTTCTTTACAAATGTGAACCAATTCGGTACAAAATTTATCACACACTTTTTAAAATTACTCCACAATTTGTAACTGATTGGTTGCTTTACAAGTTTGTTGCACTTCCTGAGTATATTCCTCCAAAATCACAACCTTCATAATGACGTGAATCTTAATTTCAAGATCTTTTCATCAATTTCAACTTCAGAACTTTTTGATATTTCAAGAAAAATTTGTAAATTGGAATTTTTAATGCTTTTTATTTGTAAAAAAGTTATAAAATATCTATAAATGTAATAAAACCAAATAAATTGAATAAAAAAGATGTAAAATTCAGAGATATTCACATTAAAGAACACGATGAATTGTCGCCATCAAAAGCCACTCGATCCCAATCAACTCCTTCTTGAATTGACCTCACAAGATCATTTCTTTGAAATGCAGTTTTTTTGAAACTTTCCATCATTTCGATTTCAGGAATTGAACCACCAAGTTCTTTGGGAAATAATGATGGATCGAGTAATGTCATTAATTTATCCATATTTTCGACAACATGAATTCTTTTCTTCAACTTTTCATTTGTAGCTTTTTTAGCTACTTCTAACATGAAAGAAGCGAAAGACGGCAATGCCACAATGTACATTCCCTTCTGCCTTCCAACTGATCCTTGTTTGATTACCGACACAAAATCAATTGCATCTTTTACAGAGAATAATCGGAGATGACCAAAAGTGATATCTGATTGATCCATCACAGTGACAATGCCAGAGATTTGAGTTTCTTCCTCCTCAAGAATAACTCTTGCAATCCATGTTAAAAGTTGAATGCAATCTGAAGCTGTGAAAATTTTATGATCAACATTTCTTGCTTGCACTAAAATAATTCGACGTCCTTCTTTATCTCTCTCCATCAGTGGATATGCAACTTTCGACTCATAAAGTGCCCACATTCTTGAAAAGACGCCATCAGTGAAGTCATACCATCTCGGTACTGAATGTTTCAGCAGCAGATAATTCTCAAATAATTCTGTAGATTTGTCAAAGCGAAATTTCTTTGTTCTAAGAAACTGAAGTAAAAATAAATCATCTAAAAATAATAAAAAGAAAGGTCAATGACATTTGACAACATGTTAGGTAATTTTGATGATTTAAATGTAAACAAAAATAAATATCCAAAAGATATTTCGAATATCTAAAATTTTGATTGATTTTTACCTTGTCGACAGTTGGCAAAATAAACATGTTTTGCAATCCATTCCCGGAAATCTTTTAAAGATTGTGATCTTATGTCTGATGTTTCATTTAACTCATTTTGTGCTTTAATAATAAAGCTTTGTTCAAGATTCATTTCCAAATCGAAACAATTAAAACTTTAATCCATATGTTTTCGAAGAAATCTTATCTTTCTTCAAATCGATAACGTAAAATGTAAACAAATTAATAAATCAAACTAAACAAAAATTAACGAAAAACGAAAAATTCGCATACTAAATAAGAAAAAGTTTAGGAAGCAACACAAAATGTAAAATAAATGCTACTGCTAACGAATCTCACACAAAAATGATCGGAAAAGAGCTGAAAGAGAAATAAAGAAAAAAGAAAAAAACAATTTTAGTAAATGAGAGTTTCATGGTCATTCGGAACGTCATATAAAAACGCCATGGATGGATTCACAAGATTCTTGAATACATTTTTTTTTCGCTAGTGGATTTAATTAGGGGATTTTTCATAGATACATATAAGTAATGGTCAAAGAGTAGAATTATTAGACACGGTAAAGATACAAAATATTTTATTTGTTTGACTCGAGAGTCTGATGCAAGAAAAGTTTATTTAACTTCTGAAAGAACAGAACAAAAAATGTATGTCAAATAATACCAAGAAACTTTGCATGTATTCGACAACAATCAATAATATTTGCAATTAAACTGCTCAGCTTTGCAATTATCACGATCAATCGTTATTTATTCTGACCTTAACTTAAAAGCTTACAATTTGTGCTCAATTATATATTAATGATTTAATTTAGGTTTTTTCTCTGGTGGGCCAGACTGATTATCCTGTTTCACTTGATTTTGAGATCCAACGCTGTCATTTGTGTTTGTATCCATTGGTTCTTGTTTGATGGTTGGTGTCTGATCTTTATTGGTGTCGTTCTTTTGCGTTCCAGATTTCTCATCATCAGCTTTTGTGACTTGTTCTTGTGGGACAATTTGTGGGATTGGAAACTTTCGAAGTAACTCACCAAGAAGCATGTCAACACGCTGTCTTTGAAATTGACTGCTTGGTTCTTCTCTTGCCTTTTCTTTCTTTATTTCTTTATTATCTTCGGATGTGACTGAAATGTTAAAATTAAATTATTTATAAAGTGAAATTATAACACTTATGACAACTTACTGGTTTTACCGACTGAAAAATCCCAACTGTATCCTTTTGTCGGATGAAACTTTGCATAGGAAATTGCATCGTCGAATGCTTGTTCCAGATTATGAACAGTTGATAAGATTCTTGAATTGAAGACACTTGCAAGATCGGGAGCCTGATGGACTCTTCCAGCTATGATGTAATAATCAGCTAAAGGTGTAGTATCTTCTGGAGAATGACGATGTTGCTTTCTTATGACATATAAAATCGGTTCTTTCACATGCAACAGGATGTACTCAACACCAACCATATTTTTCAACTGTTCCATACTTTGACGTTGCATTTTCACAATTTCATTGTTACATGTTCGATCGTAAAACGAGTTGGATTTGTCAGAGAAGTAATCCATAACATTCGAAGCATTCAAGAAAGGAATCCAATTACTATCATGCCACGAAATATGAAGCGGATTTTCTGGATGAGGAATACTTAATGGTCGCGACATTATGAAGTTCTCTTTAAGTTTCAACTGAAGTTTAATTAAGGTTTAAATGAAGAAGAGTGGAATATGATTTTTATAATTGATCAAAGAGCCGTAAATTTAAAATTTTTTATGTTTAGAAGTGAAGCGAGAAAAAGTAAACAATGACTACGCCGCTAAACGGCGTTGATCGAAGATATCTTGTAACAACGGCGGCACCGAATCAATTTCACGAAATTTCACGATCATTTTCTCAAATATTTTCTTCTTATTTTTAAACAGATGCAAAGTATTTCCCGAGTTTATGTTTCATGTTCATGAAATTTCTTCCTTCGTCTCTGCTAAAATTAGTTTCAAGATCATTTCGTGTCGTTTCGTGTAAAATTGAGGAATTATTCATTCATTAGTTTAGTAGCATTTGATGCGGAAGCACCTAAGTCATGGTAAGTGCAGTACATTAGCACCACTTGTCTTAATCGTCATCTCGTGTACGAAATAAAATATTTCTTTATCATTTAAGGGCAAACCAAGTGAGTCATCATCTCCGTTTCGTGTCATTCCCATTCATTATGCTCGAGAACTCATTGATGAAACGATTAAGCTTATTAATGAAGAATGGCCAAGGTCAATTGGTGCACGAATGTGGTCACTGGAGTCAAGCAATGATAATCTTCCAACATGTCTTGTGCTAACTAATCCAACAAACTGGGAAGCAAATGATGGTGTAACTAAAGACACTCCGAGAGTTTTAGCTCATCTCAAACTAACACCAATTCCTTCAAATCCATCTGCTTGTTTCATTGAATCTGTAGTTGTGTGGAAATCATTACGTGGGAAAGGAATTGGAAGATTTCTAATGAACGAAGCTGAAAATTATTGTAAATATAAATTGAAACTTGAAGAAATTTATTTGTCGACAACAGATAAAGAAGATTTTTATCTGAAGCTCGGTTATGAACCTTGCCCACCAGTTTCGATTTTTGGTGGTCCATGTAATGGATCTTTCAGACCAGTCACTAAAAAGAAGTACATGAAGAAAGTTCTTACTGAACCTTCGGATGACGAACAATGTTAAATGTTGTGAATAATTCTCATTATCTTATGTGAAACTTTAATGGATTATAATTAAGTGGCACTTAATAATACTTTATTGTGAATTCTGTGAATATTAACAGATAATTGTGATAATCCATCAAACACCAGACTCAACATTTATTCCATGATTGCTCTTACATTTTAATTTATTTTCGAGACTAACATATTTATCGCTCAATAAAATATTTTTCGATTAAAATCAATTTCATTTCTTTGTTGCAATTCCAATCACTTTTTGAGCATGATCATTATTTTCCAAGCATTCAACAAAGAATGCTCCAAGATCATATTTAGAAATTGATCGACCTGGTGATTTGTCATAAAGTGTTGTGTATTCGGCAGAAGGCTCATCTAGGAAAACAGAAGAAAATATTATGAAGAAAGTGGAACAAAAAGATTTAAAGTATTTACCGGCAATATGAGGAGGAAGTACAGCACGATACTCAAGATCAGATTTTGTGACAATTTCCAGCATTCTTTTGTGATCAGCATTTAAATCATTGAACATTTTGGGAACCTTATCTGGTTCCATGAATAAGAAAGAAGACATACAAGCTGAGAATTTTCGTAATCCAAACTTTTTCATTGATTCGATGATATTTTTAGTTCCTTCGGACATCATTGTAGTTGGTGCCAAACTATTACGTGTTCCTAATATAATAATCACAGCGTCTGTACCTTCAACGGTCTTGTCAACATCACTTTGGTTCAATACATCGCCTTTTACAATTTCAACTTTGTCTTTGAATTCATTAGGAACTGTTGATTCATCCCTTACGAGAAGTTTCACTTTCTTTCCTTAACATTATCATATTTTGTAAATAAAAATCAGTTAACTCTAAGTAAACATTTCAAACCTTTCTCCAAAGCTGCTTTAACAGCACATGAACCGGTCATGCCGGTACCACCAAAAATTGCGAGTTTGCTCAAAGACATTTCTTCTTATTCGAGTTCTTTATTGTTGATTCAATGATAAAACAAAAAATTTCTCTCGTTAATGACGTGTAGCCTTGAAAAATGATTAAGATAAAACCTGGAATTGGCTTATACTCACAATGGGAAAAGAAATCAAATAAAGTTTCTCAGGGTTTTGCGGTAAACATTATGAACTGAATTGAAATGAAGTTTTTATAATCGAAACTTTATTATTTAAAATTAATTTTTGAACGTTAGACATACGAGGAACAATTGAGACATTTTGTTGAAAAAGTTACAGGATAAATTTAAAGTAGATTAAAATAAAGAGATTAGACATTGAAAAAGTAAAATTAATTTTCTTGTACAGTTATTTCAACCATATATAGCAAGAAACTGAATTTTTCCGGGCCTCACGAATGAGTTGAATGTGTCGAAGCATTTGAAGGAAACGATCATTTTTCTTGTCAACATTCTTTCCCAAAACTCGTGCAATATCTCCAACTGTGATGAATTTAAAGCCTTCGAAATATTTAGTTTGATCTTTGAACATTGTTTGCAATGTAACTTCAAAAGGTTTAAGGGATAATTTCTGTTTGTGTAAGATCTGATACTTTTCATTGAATGTTCGTATGATGACGTTATCTAAGAAGCCTTGAAGTTCTGTAAAATAAAAATTCTTTAAATAACAATAAATTAATGAGAAGTTAATGAAAATACCCGATAAAACAGCTCTCCCTTTCATATAACCAGGAATACGAGCAAAATCATCATCTGTGATTTCATACTCGAAATCTGTAAATTGAAGTTGAACTTTTGTCCTCTTTTTAGCAAAAGGCGATTTTGCGTATTCTGATACCAACATTCTAGGAGTATTTGTCTCAGAGAATGCCTGCAATGCTCCAGGTCTTTCATAAACTTTTGGAGTACCAGGAATAGAAATTTCCTTGAGGATCCTTTTTTCATTTTGTTGTTTTTTTTCCAGCTCATCGTGATGTTTAAGTAAAAGCATCATTTTGAGTTGAACTCTGTTGATTATGGTGGTGGTTTCTTTGTATTCCTTTTTGAGAATATTATTTTGTTCGTTTATCGAATCATGAATTGCTTTTTGCAGTTTCTTAGCATCACTGTTGTTTTCACTTAACTGACTTAAATTTTCAGTTAATTTCTTTTTATGAGGCAGGACAATCAATGCTTCTGAAATGTTTTGTACTTTTTCATTCAGATTATCAAATGTTTTTACAATTTCTTCCATTTTTAAACTTTTTTATGAAAACTTCAAGACTTTTGTTGTTATTTTGAATTCAAATAAGCAGCGTCGCCGTTGGGGTTTGTTAAAGTTCTCTCTCAAAAACAATTACTCAACGGCATCAACAATACCGTCAACGGCGTTCAACTAAGAACTTTTAGAATTAAAAAAACTTATACATAAAAATAACTTGCTTAATTTAAATATACTAAAAGGCTTAAAATTAAGTTATAAAACATCTAAACACATTCTAGAATATATAAATTGTGAAACAGACATGAAGTGTGCTGAAAAAACTGTGAATTTGCTCACAAATATGATTGTGAAAGTTTTGAGAATTTAAAATTAGTCAAACATAGAGGAAAATTTCAATTCGGAGAAGAAAAAAAATCAAATTTTTCTTCGAAATAATTGCGCTCTTTAATTGAATTGTGTGCGTTCGATTATTCGTTGTAAAATGCCCAGTGCTTCATTTTCGTCATCTCGGACCTTCAGACGATCAAAACGAAAAGGATCGAATCGAAATAATTCAGGTAGAAGATTACGAAGAGAATAAAAAAGTTGTTCAATGGACGGGGCAGATGGGGATTGAGGCAAAAATATGGAAACAAAGATGGAATGGGCTCACAACTGGATCGTATGAAAAGAGAAAGAGAGAAGAAAAAAAAAACATTTACCTGCGAATAGTGATGCAATTTTTTCTGTTATAATTAATTCCGTTTTCACTACCTGATATAGATTCCCAAAAAAAAGAAAAAATTCATATATCAAACATTAAAATATGTCGTTGTGCCGAGAGAGTGCATAATTTTTTTTGTATGTATGCTGCTGCTATGCTATGCACACCATAAAAGTTAACATATAATTTATTGGGGAAAAATTATTTACTGTTTCATCCTTTTTAAATATTTCCATTTTCTACATTTCACAATCATTCAACATTAATATTAAATGATATTTTCGTTCATGTTCAGTCATTTTTTTGCTTCTAGTAGGAAATAAATGTCCCAATGATTGCATTGAGCAAAAGAATAAATTTCATGAGTGAAAAACATGAAATAGTGGAAAAAACAGCAACAGCAGCATCAGCAAAACCAACTTTGATTCAATTAATGACCTACATTAAACATTCCATTTTATTCAACTTTTTTTTTCTTCTCTTCTCTTGTTCATATAAATCTGATGATGCTTGAATGAAAATTGCCTTTTTGTGACGATTCGTCGCGAGAGTTCTTGTGAAATTTGCTGTGGAAACTATTGAAGATGTTTCCATTGTTTATTTTCTTTTATTTCTTGATTCATGAACGATTGCCAGTTCCTCTCTTCACAACACTTTTAATTAATTGCCCAAACGTGCCACCTCGAAAATAATTGTTTCCGCAATTTGATTCATTAAAGATGATTATAACTTTGACTTTCAGATGCCTACGAACCACCGAATTGCCAAAATATTCCAGCACCATCGGTTGGAACTGCTCCGGGACCGTCGGTTGCTAACTCATCGACAAATCCAGACACTTCCAATCCGACAACGTCAAACGGTAGCAATCCCACGATACCAAACACTTCATCAGCCTCGACAGCTTCATCATCAGTACTCGCAACAACAACCAGCGTATCATCATCGGAAACACTTCCAAGTAATTCCAGTGGATGTTCGTCATCTGCCAGTTGCCATCATTCGCCATATGATTTAAGAAAGAAATCACCAATGGCTTGCAATAGTGAGAATTGGCTTGGTTGTGCTGGAACATCAACATCAACAACCACCAGCTCAACATGCACGTCCGGAAGTCAACAATCGTCCACAACATCATCACACAATCATCATCATTATTCCACAAGTAGTAATAGCAATGCAAACTATGATTATTTGCCAGCACGTAAACGTCCACGACGCACTTACTCCAGCACTGAAACATCAACAACGATGAGTGCAGCACATTATCTTCAATATGAAATGCCCGATGAGGTTCTTTTAACGATATTCAGTTATCTTATGGAACAAGATTTATGTCGTGTGTCGCTTGTTTGTAAACGTTTTCAAACCATTGCCAACGATTGTGAATTATGGAAACGTCTTTATCAAAGTGTTTATGAATATGACTTGCCATTGTTTAATCCCGAGCCATGCAAGTTTCTATTCATGAAAGTCGAAGACTGTGAATTCTCAAATCCTTGGAAAGAGAGCTTCCGTCAACTTTATCGTGGAATTCATGTACGACCGAATTATCAGGATAGAAAATATCAGGGACGAAATATTTCTTACTTCAATACCGTACAAGCAGCTTTTGATTACGCCGATGAACGTAATGCTGCTAATAATATCGCCAGTGCACCACAAATTGGAGCTGGAATGAGTAATGTTAATGGTAGCAATTTATCAGTTAATATCTCGCCAGGATCTCCAACAAATGATGACAACATGTCGGTATTGGATTCACCTGGTAGTTTAATATTCCTTCACGCTGGCATCTATCGTGGTGAATTTCTTGTGATTGATTCCGATATAACTCTCATTGGAGCAGCGCCTGGAAATGTTGCTGAATCAATTGTTCTTGAACGTGAATCAGAATCAACTGTTATGTTTGTAGAAGGAGCTAAAAATGCTTACATTGGGCATATGACGTTAAAATTCTCACCAGAAATCACAAGCACTGTTCCGCATCACAAGCATTATTGTCTTGAAGTTGGTGAGAATTGTAGTCCGACGATTGATCATTGCATCATTAGAAGTACATCAGTTGGTGAGTTTTCTTTGTTATTCTCATGTTTCTAAGCAATCAATTAATTTAAATTGTTATTCATTTAGTTGGAGCAGCAGTTTGTGTTAACGGTGTTGGCGCTAATCCGTACATAAAATTCTGTGATATCAGCGATTGTGAAAATGTCGGCCTTTATGTCACCGACTATGCGCAAGGAACATATGAGCACAATGAGATTAGTCGAAATGCATTAGCTGGAATTTGGGTGAAGAATTTTGCATCGCCAATAATGCGTGAGAATCATATTCATCATGGACGAGATGTTGGAATCTTTACATTCGATAATGGAATGGTAAAAGAATTAAAAATGAAAGAAAAAACGAGAAATCTATTAAATAATAAAAACTTTTATGAAACTTTCAGGGATATTTTGAGAAGAATGATATTCATAATAATCGAATTGCTGGCTTTGAAGTTAAAGCTGGCGCCAATCCGACAGTTGTGAAATGTGAAATTCATCATGGACAAACCGGCGGAATTTATGTTCATGAAAATGGTTTGGGACAATTTATCGAGAATCGTATTCACAGTAATAACTTTGCTGGTGTTTGGATAACATCAAACTCGAATCCGACAATACGTAAGAATGAGATTTACAATGGACATCAAGGTGGCGTTTACATCTTTGGCGAAGGCCGCGGTTTAATTGAACATAACAATATTTATGGTAATGCACTGGCTGGCATTCAAATCCGTACTACTTCAGATCCCATTGTGCGACATAATAAGATTCATCATGGGCAACATGGTGGGATTTATGTTCATGAGAAAGGTCAAGGTTTAATCGAAGAGAATGAAGTTTATGCAAATACTTTGGCAGGTGTTTGGATCACCACTGGCAGTACGCCAGTGTTAAGACGAAATCGAATTCATTCAGGCAAACAAGTTGGCGTTTATTTCTACGACAATGGACATGGAAAGCTGGAAGACAATGACATATTTAATCATCTTTATTCAGGTGTTCAAATTCGAACTGGAAGCAATCCTATCATTCGTGGTAATAAGATTTGGGGTGGACAGAATGGCGGCGTTCTTGTTTACAATGGCGGACTTGGTGTGCTAGAACAAAATGAAATATTTGATAATGCAATGGCTGGTGTTTGGATTAAGACGGATTCAAATCCAACACTTAAACGCAATAAGATTTATGATGGACGTGATGGTGGAATTTGTATCTTTAATGGTGGCAAAGGTGTTCTTGAAGAAAATGATATTTTCCGTAACACTCAAGCCGGCGTTCTTATCTCAACCCAATCTCATCCCGTACTGAGACGTAATCGAATTTTTGATGGCTTAGCAGCTGGAGTTGAAATCACAAATAATGCAACAGCAACACTTGAGTATAATCAAATATTTAACAATAAATTTGGTGGCTTATGTCTTGCAAGTGGAGTTCAGCCAATTATTCGTGGAGCAAATAAAATCTTTAATAATCATGATGAAGTTGAGAAAGCTGTCAGTGGTGGTCAATGTTTGTACAAAATCTCATCTTATACATCATTTCCAATGCATGATTTCTACCGCTGTCATACGTGCAATACAACTGACAGAAATGCGATTTGTGTTAATTGCATAAAGATTTGCCATCAGGGTCATGATGTTGAATTTATTCGGCATGATCGTTTCTTCTGTGACTGCGGTGCAGGTGAGACATCAAATAATTTTCTTTTCTTTACTCATCTCTAAATATTTCATTTCTTAATTATAATTTCAGGCACTTTATCAAATCAATGTTCATTACAAGGTGAACCAACACAAGATACTGACACGTTATACGATTCAGCAGGTAAGGAGTGAAAGTTATAAATCTTTGTTGAATAAAATTAATTTAATCATTATAATAATTTTATTTAACAGCTCCCATGGAATCTCAGACTAAAGAAAACTGGTAAGAAAAAATGAAATTTTATCATCACAATTATTTAAGCTATCAAAGAAGATAAAAGAACCGGACTATCTGCATTCAATCAAAGTATGCACGATTACTTTTTAATGAAAAAAGAAAAGAAATAACTCTTAGAATGTAAGAATAATTAAACTAGATATTTGTAAATCTGTGTTATCATCAAGCAAAAGTTTCTCGAATTAAATTGACGAGTTTTTTAATTTCCTTCGTCACAAAATTTCTTTATAAGTTTAAACAAAAGTATTTTGAGCGTGTCGTTTTAGTTGGTACTTTTTTTATTCATCGGTTTTAATTTTTTATTCTTTTTCATAAGATTTCGTTTTGATAAGATGAAGATTTTAATGAAGGATAATTTCCTTCTTTGGTGTAAATATTTAATATTAGATTGTGCAGAAGAAAGAACATTTTTTATAAGGAAAATTTTCAGTTTGTCACAGACGAGAAAAACAAAAGAAAATATTTAGGAAAAGAAATTCCAACGAAAATTTTTTAGAACAAACAACAATCCCAAATCCTTTAAATAGTGTCGGAAAGTTATCTGTGTGATTTGAAAAAAACATTCTTAAAGTAATTAAAAACACGTGAGATAAACTTTTTTACGGTTTCCCTTAAATCATAGTATCGGTTGACAAAATCAAAGATTGAAATTGAGAAAGAAATTACAAAAATAATTAAATGTACAGAAGATTAATTGTCTATTTGAACAAAAATTTAATCTCAAGCAATCAATTTCTTTTGCTTAAATATTTATTTTGCGTTCAGTATTAAAACAACAAAAATTCGAAGAATCTTTTCGCGAAGTTTTCCTGATAAATTCTTCAACACAGAAAACTTGTATGATTTGGAATTTGTTTAATGAAAGTTGGAAAATTTCGTGTTACATTTGAGCTTGTGAGTGTCGCAATATGCTTTTTTATCTGTATTGAATTCCTTTCATTTCTTTTGGTTGTTAGATCAACTGTTGATGCTTATCATCTGCAATGTTCATCTCTGGAAGATGCAATTTGTTGCCTTTTATATAAAAAAATGTTTACATAAGATTTCTTTGACTGAAAATGGTTTTTTAGATGATTGCGTTATGAACTTTAGATGTAATGGAAGAGTTTTCATTTTTTTTCCGTGTCAATCTCTTTACAAATGCAAATGCGTGAAAGTTTGTGTGCTTTTATTTTCCTTAAGTTAAATTTTAATTCCAATACAATGTTTAATGTTTAATTTTAATTGCGACGCCATTGAAAATGTCCAAATTATATAAAAAGAACAGCAATTGCTAATTTCTCAACAAATAATGTAAGCATTCATAAAGGAAATCTTATTATCCAAATCCATATCATTATCACGATGTGAAAAGAACACAGAATGAATACTAAAAGAAAATGGAAGAGAAAAACTTTTTTCTTTCTCGTTTTTTATAACTTTGAGGCAAACGGTACATAAATAAATCACTCGAATTAAGAATGTGCCATAAATGTTGAGTGTTTTATGCTTGAACATGAAAATAACTTTTTCGGGAAGAAAAAAATCAGAAGAATTTTTAAAAGAAAGTTTTCCATTTTTTTTTTCGAAATAGAAAAGTTTTATAAGAAATTGACGATTTTCCTTTTTTTACCTCTTACAAATAACCTCTAACAATTTTTCTTTTTGTACATAAATAAAATAAATCAATTTAACTTTTTCTGACATTGTGTAGCGTCAGAAGAATTTCATTTTGATTTGAGTGCCTGCTGTCTTGTCTTTTAAGTAAATATTCTCTCAATGGCATTTGTTTTCCTCTCTTTCTGACTATCAATGTATGTAAGAATTAATTAAATCTCAACAAAATATTTCACCTCCAGCCACAAAATAAACGATGGAAGATGATGAGTAACATAAGAAACTGAAGTACTATTAATAATTGATAAGAGTTTACAAATAATGAAGAAAGAACATTGTTTAAGGTATAAACAAAGTATTATTTTAGCATTTCGTACATACATACTTGAAGTAAAAAACAACAAGAAAATCAAATTAATTGCATAATTTATCAAACAATCAAAAAAGTTTTTATTTTCAATCTTTCAACTCCACAACAAAATGTTTGTTTAATTTTATAAAAATATTTATGTTTTGGTGACTGAAAAATAAAAACAAAAACATGGCAATATAATAAAAAATAAAGAAAAAAATTGGTAAACGAATGAATCTTTGAAATTAGTTTCGGTGAAAAGAATGGCAGATTGTGTCAAGTAAATGTCACAAATTATAATATTGAAATTGAGAATAAAAGAAAATTATGCAAATTATCACAATCATTGTGGTTTCATTTAATTAAAATTTAGATTAAATCAAGGTTTAAAAATTATGCAACGTTTTTCCAGTAAGCCAGTTTGTGGTATCAACTCCTGGATGGAAAGTGATGACATGGTCGTTGAGTAATCGTTTCAGAAAAAAGCCTTCGTTGCATATCTGACAAATGTATGGATGAATTTGTGTCTGTAAATAATATTTCAGATAATTCATCGAAAAGTAATAAATAAAGTTTATTCTTTCAGCTTTACGTGAGAGAAAATGTGGCGCTTAAGATCGGTATGTGCCGAGTAGCATCGATTGCAGTATTTGCATTTATACGGTCTTTCATTTGTGTGAGTTCTGTTAATTAATTAAGAATAATAAATTTCAAACATTGAAAATTTTAAATATCTTACCTTTGATGAACCAACAAGCTCTCCTTTCTTATGAATTCTTTACAACATTCATTACATTTGAATTCACGTAAATTTTTATGAGATTTCATGTGATTTGTATGATGAGTTTTGGAATACATTGCAAAACCACAAACATTGCAATGATATCTTTTGATCTTCATGTGGACAACGTTCAAGTGATTCATGACATGAGATTTATTTTTAAAACTAATAATTAAATAAAAGTTAAAATTTAATATATAATTTAGAATTAATTTAAACGACTTACTTTAAACCACAACGATCACATGTGAAAGGTTTTGTACTTTCACTTTTTAAATGATTTTCCATCGCATGTTTTGTCTTCTCATGATACATGCACTTAGGAAGTGTATTGAAATCTTTAAAGCAAAATGAGCAGTAGAATTTATTTGCATTTTGAAAGCATTCTTTAGATTTTTTGTTCAATTTCAAGTATGGTTCCAAATCGATATGATCAGCGATTGATACAGACGAATGAATTTCTTCTTCTTCAGTTATTTGTTTCGGAGATTTAATTAAACTTTTAACGTTTTCAGTCTGGTATTTTGGATCCGTTTGATGCCTAATATATTTCTTATTTGAATCAACTTTTACTGTCTTCTGACGATCTACTTTTATTTGTGCTTCACTTTCTGCTAAATCATTCAGGAATTTCTCATTCTTTTCACATAGATTTCTGATAGTGTCAGCAAGAAGCATTCGGGATAAGCAATTTTCGCAAATATATTGTGGAAGACTTTTATTTCTGCTTAACTAAATTTATTAAATACCATTGAATTAGGTACTAAAATTGAATTATCATAATGCCAGTTACCTTCACTTGACATATCCGGTAAATCAGATTTTCCACAGAATGTTTATGAAATCGACCAAACACATGAACAAAAGCATTCCTCGGTGATAAACAGATCCTACACGATTCTTTGTCAATAATGACTTCCTCAAATGCTGCTATTGCTTCCATTTTAATATAAAAATTTGATATTTTATTGTTTATTGAGGATTCAATGTTTTGTTTACTTTCAAAAATTCTTTTGCATCTTTTTGACAGTCGGACATAAAAGTTCGTGTAAGTTAATCCTAATTATCAATGTTAGCACAGTTAGCAATAAAAAATTGAAGGTTTTTAGAAAATAGAACAAAAAATAATTTTCGAATTGAAATTCTTTTCGATTAGCTATAGTAAAACATTAGCAATATAATTTAAAGTGATAGATGTTAGAATCATTTTAAGTAAAGAAAGTTGAAAATCCACCGACAGACAGTAACTAAAGTAAAAATCGTTTTCCAATAAATTGTTCGTAGAAATTATCTAATCAAAAAATAAACAATTGATACAGATAAAATAATTCAATAGTCAAAATGGCAAATTTTGGGAGAAGACTTATTGAAAATCTTAAAAGTCCCCAGTTTCGGGAGTACTTAATGAGGTATTGTAATTCACATTAGCTAAGATTTGAGATCCACGCAATGTTTATACAATAAATCTATTTTTTCCTCATAGCACTCATTTTTGGGGGCCAGTAGCAAACTGGGGCATTCCTATTGCGTGTTTAATGGACATCAAGAAAGACCCTAAAATTATATCAGGGACAATGACGACCGGTTCGTTCTATTATATTTTAAAAACTTGCATAAATTTGAAAATGTCATGAGATCATCACATTTATACATGTTGATCATTTTTCTTATTTTTCAGCACTCATTCTCTATTCTTGTGTGTTTATGAGATTCGCATGGAAAGTGCAGCCGAGGAACATGCTTCTGTTTGCATGTCATTTTACAAATGCATCAGCTCAAGGTGTTCAAGGTGGACGTTTTATTCGATATCATTATCTTGGTGGTGCAGAAGCAGAAGCAGAAAATCAGAAACAACTAAACGCAGCTTAAAGATTGATTTTAAGAATTTAAAATTTTCTTAATTACTTAAGTTTCTTCCAGTAGGGTTGAAGATTCCTTAAACAAAATGCGAGAATCTTGAAGACTTACTCGTCAGTGTAGATGCCAGTGGGTAGATGTAGTGAAAATAGAATAACAAATAATGATATTTCATAAAGTACGAAGAAGAAACTCAATTTTTTCAAAAAATGTAACACATACGACACAAAAGTTCAAAGCGATGAAAATTTTATATTATTTATAGTAATTGAAAGTTATCTGCCGAGTTTATGATTACCAATCTAGGTTTGTGAACTGTCTTAATTATTTGATATTTAAAAAATTTCCTAATAAACCCTATAATTTATACGAAAAATAAAGCGAGAAGAAATGTTAATAACAGAGAAAATATTGTTTTATTTCTGCTATTAAAATTAGATTAGAACACATTATCTTAATTCTCGCCACTAGACGGCGTTGAAGATTTAACTTTAAGCGTTTGTAACGGAAATTAATTAATTTGAAATTGGAAGCTGAGCGATTGTAGTTTCCTTATCGCTGGCCATTTAAAACAATCTTATTTAAGCAATTGCAATTGCAGATACCTTTCACTTTCAAGTCTAACAATTTTGTTGTAACAACGTGAATTAAAAATCTTATCAAAAAAATTCAAAAAAAGTACATTGAAATCTCTTTGAGAGTTGATGAATTTAATAGAATACCTTTAAAAGGATTGTTATTAATTTTTGTGTTGAAAAGTGAAATATATTCGATTGAGTGTGTAAAAAATTTGAATTATGAAAATTGAGAAAGTGAAGGAAGATTCAGAGGATCAAATTTCCCTAAAAATGGAAGAAGTCAAATTGAAGCAACAATCTGAAGAATCTCAGGGTAAAATTAATAAGAAGATGTTGAAATTCACCGTGGGATTCATTCCAAAGGGTGAGTAAAAAAATGTCCTTTTACACATTCATGGCAAACTGCAACGTCACGGTCAGCAAATAGCAAGCTAATTTTTTTTTCTTCTCAAACAACGAAGTCGCCATTGACCCGAATCAGTTGATAGAGTTTCTTAAAAAGGGAAGATTATCTGGCACACTAAATAAACTCTCCTGTGTCTCCCTTTACGTGATCGCCTTTTGTTAAAAATCAGCAGAGCAAAAAATCGAGCATCATAAAAAACGAGAAGATTTTTTCCTTCTTCAACGGTTTAAATCGCAAAGAAAAATATTGGATGATGGTCAAACGAGTTTTATTTTACGGCCATGGATCATGTGTGGGAATTTTTCTTTATTTACCTTGAGCACAGCAATCGTTAGATATTTTTCATTCCACATGTGACCGAAGTAATTCGAATTCCATCCCTTTAAAAAAGACAACAGCATTTTCACAACAACCCCTTTTACGTGCTTCTGCAACAATTTTTTTTGTGTGTTCTTCGTCGGGGCTCCGGTTTGTTGTTGATTTTATTTCTTATGCTGATGGAACAGGTTTTTCCTTTGGGAATGGATTTGCTTTTCTCATTCTCGCTCTCTTAATGTCGTTTAAGAAGATACGAAAATGTTTTTTTTTCTGAGAGAAAATGCTTCAAGAAATTGTTCCAACCATGTTACAATTTCGATATTTTTTTGTCCAATGTGCAGTTTCTTCCTTTCCTCGTAACAAAATTAAAAATGCACAAGACAAGATGTTGAATAAGAAAAGGTGGAAGATCCTTTTAATAAATCGGTTTGTCGAGGGGAAATTCTTTTGATTTTGAAATTTACTCATATTTTTTTTGGTGCTATCTCGCGAAATGCCTTCGAGATTCATTTTTCCTGGTCAAGAAAAACATTTATGGACTTAGGGATGATGCTGTGATTAAATTTGTTATGAGTTCGTGTCTTGTTAAACAATTCCATTTGCCAAGCAAATTATAAGAAGAAATTCCATAAAACATCTCATTTATCATCTTCATGCCATAAAAAGTGGATGAGATGGAAGACAAAAAAAAAGTACAATAATAAAAGATGCAAATAACGAACTTTTCCATGATTTTTTACTCAATTGTCCACCTGGTTATCAATACATCTGAAGACGAATAAAGAAGTTTCACAGGATGCAATTTGACCGAAACTGTTAAACGAGACAAAAAAACTAACTTGAAGTAAAAAAATATTTTAATATTTATTTGGCATAAATAACAACGAGGGAAAATTATAAAATTTTATTCCCGGGCATGTTGCAAATCCAGTTGTGCGTGGGAATTGCTAAGAATCCAGCAATGACAATTCCGATACTGTCACTTGATGCAACAATATTCATAGCGAATTGATTGTAATTTGATGAAATTTCTGTGCTTATTCTGTAATAAGTGTTGACATAAGCTAAGCCACCTTGCAGGCCTTCGATAAATATAAAAGCAAAGACGATCGTGATACTTGGCGTATATAAGTAAATCGCTTCAGTCAGAAAATATATCGCAATAAAACATTGAATTCCAGCCATTATCCAAGTCTTTTTAATGTGAATTATGTTAACTGATGATCTTGATATGAAAACTCCAATTTGATATGTCACTTGATACCAGCGATATTGTTGTGATGGAGTCAAAGAAATGTTTTGAAAAACAACCAATTCGAACTGTAATGAATGTTAATTAAATTCATATCACAAATTAATAAACAACTCACCAATCCTTGATTTATAAAATACTCAAAAAAGTAAACCATTGATAAAGGAATGAAGTAAATCATTAATTTGGGAATGTAGGCAAATTTATCCTTCGTTGATAAAGAATGAACTCGTGTTGCTACCAATGAATCTGAATCGCTTGTTGTTAATGGTTCTCGTTCTTCATCTTCATCATGTTCTTCCCTATTACGTGTACGATTTGGATGACCAAGAATAGTAAAATAAGTGAAAAGTTCGAGTGCTGGAACTAAAATCATCAGCATAAGAGTGTTTCGGCTGCTAAATCCCATTTCCCTTAAAAGCGAATAAGAAAGTGCACCAATTATGCCAGCACCTCCAGTTCCACTCGACCAAGATGACACAACATTTCTGTCATATTTTGTTGAATGAGCCAGAAATGTTGGCTCGCCTAAACCAGACGCGAACGACGTTAAGACAACTCCAATGATCACAGCTTGCTTTGATTTTGCTAATGCAACAGCTATGAAGCTGAAGATAGAAGTTAAGCATGAGACAGTGATACGAATGTTTGTGTTGTAGGGAAGAAAAGGAGAAAGACTTTTAATTAAAAGCGATGGAATAATGTCTGCTAATAGAATTGCGCCAGTACTCATCGTTGTGCATTGTCTTTGCATGATCGTCACATCAATTGCTGTAGATTCCTTTAATAGAAAAGTTTTATTAATGAATTCGATAAAAAAAATTAATTCTACCATTTTATTGTCGATGATATCAATTGCTGCTGTTAACATCACAACATATCCGTAATTATTGCACAAACCAAAAATCCAAAATGCAATCAAATTTTTGTATTTGCGTTCTCGATTATGATTAACAATGATTACTTCGTTATTGTCAAGATTATTATCCATGTTGAATAATTAAAGTTGTCAACTCATTTATGAAAGTTGGAAGATCTCTCCAATTTATTATTAAATAACGCGATAGTAAGCAAATGATCAAAACATAACAATTTGAGGCGAATTTAGTCATCTGAAGAAGCGAAATGGAATTGTAGGTGTGTGAATTTGTTGACTTTGTGTATCTGTGTTGGAGTAAAAACGCATTCAAATAGGTATTTTTCATTCTTTCCTCAATTTTATTAGCTTAATAAAAGAAATTTGATGATCAAAGAACATATTTTGTATGGACTGCGATTTGGCTTTGTCAAGAAAAATAATTTTCTGTTGAAAATAAATTATTTACACAAAGTAATCTCAGTTCGTTAATTGAAAGGAATGGAAATGAAATTCATTTGTCTATAGAAAATTATTTGTCATGTTCCGTTTAGTTTTGAGATTCTTAAGTTATTGTGCATGAGAATTCTTTTCTATGTCTTTCCCCATTAAAGTTAAGTTGATTATTGCTCCTAGAAAGTTGATTGACTTCAGTTATCGATGACGAATTTGCACAATTAATAAAATGAAGAGAACGAAGCTTGATATCAGGAAAAGTTGGCCTTTAATTCCAGCTGCACCAGCTAATCGACATTTAAACAGATCATATCTCGTCTCTTTATCATTCATTATATTCTGAAATTCTGATTCCACAACTTGTCCATCGTAGTACGTGATCAAATCTTCAAATGGATATTCAAATCCTTGACGACATTCACATTTATATCCACCACTCTCAAAGCCACGTCCTTGAATTGGCACGCACTGAAAATTAAATAAATTAATTTAAATTCAATAATCAATCACAAAATAACTTACATATGACGTTGTGTCATCACATTTATGTGTGTGTTTAAACGCATTTGGTACGTGATAATCATCTTCACATTGATTTATGTCTAATTGTCTCATATCCATTGAAACAGCAACAACTCCCCTGGTGAAACAGTTTTTATAAATATTTCCATAATTTCATAATCTTAATTATACTCACTTAAATTCCAAACTCGCTCCTAAACTGTCGAAACCGAAGAAAGGAACTGCATAAGTTATAATCCATTTTTTCACTAAACCTTTGCAGTCAAAGTGCGGCACACTCCAATGGCCATGTTCAAGTCGTGGGGCATTATAAAAGTTTGGATAATGTTCATATTTTTGTGAATATTCGCCAGTTTCATTGTGTCTGATTCTCATTTTCAACCAGAATTGTTCCAAGTCATCGAAGTTTGTTGACCAACGTTGCTTTAAGAACTTGAAGAATGGTTTCTCAAGATAAGTTTCCCCAGTTTTATTCAATCTTGCTAAATCTTCAACTTTAAACTTTCTGGTGTTGAGTTGTTTCTTATAAGCAAACGGCGCAAAAAGCGTTCGATTTGTGAATTTATTTCTTGCCCAATAAGTACCAGCAGACCAGATTTTTGTGTTTCCAAGTACAAGAGCGAGCGTTTCTCCAATCATTTGATCTTCTGTTAATGGCTTGTCAGCCACACGTTTTCCTGAATAAACTTCTGCTGGATCGGAAAGTTGTAAAAATGCGCTAATAAAGTTTGCAAGTCTCAATGCCATTTTAGCTTCATTTTCGAATTGCTTTCTTGCACCATACGCGATATCACCACGAAGAACCAAATCTTGTTCATGATAACTAAAAATTATAAGAAAATTTAGTAAAATTTTATTAAATATTTCTTGCTTCACTCACTCATGACATGTTCTCTCGGAAACTCCCAAAATGAAATTCAATACTTGATCAGCATTAATCTTATCAGTGTGAAGTGATCCAGAGCCTGTTGTGTAGTTACGATATTCGGGATGACGATCAAGATATCTTTCACGAACATAAGGTGGTGCTCGTTCCCATTGAATTGGAACCTTTTGAATCCCTGAGAATTAAAAATGTTCTAATTGATGTTTTTAATTTCTTTTTATCAACTCACATCCAATCTTCAGACAATCAAAGCCATTGTAATATTGCTCATCACTTGCACGCTCAAGTATTTCACCAAGAAAAGCTTGTCGTATCATACTTGGCAGCCGATGTTGCGGTTTACATCGACATTGATAGCCACCTCGTCGAAATCCCCAACCATCCAGTGGTTCGCACTAAAATTGATCAAGAAATTTATAAACTCACTGAGACATTTCATTTGTTGTTTAATTTACCTCCGTCGTTTCTTTTTTACATCTTGACGTATCAGCAAATTTATTCGGTCCCTTATTGCCTTCACCTCTCGGACATTGATTTATATCGATCCTTTCAAAATCCATTTCAACTACTGATATTGCTGTGTACCTGAAAATTACGAGTTAATTAGTTTTTAATGAGTTAAAAGGACGAAGAAAAACTCACTTTGGATATTCAATATGTCTGAATTGTGTATGTCGGGGATAAATGTCAGCAATGGGAACAACAGCAGCTACAAGCCATTTGTTTGAACGACCACAATCAAAATAAGGACGTGTAAATTTAACAGGACCTGGATCTTCATCAGCACCAGGCGGGCCATGGAATGTAAATGTTTCATTTGTGTTATTAGCATAACGAATCTCAATATCGTAAGTTGTTTTCGTATCGTGACGCTTCTCAACATCGTCTGGCAACCATTTCTTGTACCATTCATTGATTTTATAATAATCACTGGTATAATCTTTCGAATATGAATTCGCTGGAATCGCTCCAAGATCTTGAACAATGAATGTGTTTAATGTTGATATCTTCTCAAGATGAATTGGATCGTTAAAGTCATCTAATCGATATGTTCTTGGTGCAAATCTTGGGAATGTTTTGTTAAAGAAGCCTCGATATGATGATGAGTATGATGAGTTTGGGGAGAAGTAAATTGATGATGCATTAACTGACGGAGTGGATGAAACATCAGCAACGGTTGATAAGAAGTAATACATCATTCCAGGATCGTAAGTGTCGTTGATTGCTGGTCGAATGAATCGACTTTGAAGAATGTAACTCCAGAAGAATGCGCGACTTAATGCCATATTGTGAAGATGTAGCAAAGCGGTTCGATTAGGAAACACTGGATTAATGTTGATTTCTTTGATGTCGGGAAGATGTGAAATTGTGTCTTCAGGTAGATAAAGATCACCCAAGTGTTGAATAGGACAATTATCTTGAGTCACTTTATCGTATTTGATTTTAATCTCGTCAAATGCATCTCGAGCTTGCCACTCATATTGTGCGAAAACGCCCATAATTAAGATAACTCCAAAAGCGAAAGTACTTCGCCAGAATACGTCAGTACACCGCATGATTGCTAATTGTGTTAAGGCACTCTACAATTTAACAAGAATTTAACTTTTTTATAATGTCTATAGGACGTTAATTATTAAACATTTCTAAGTGGAATGAGCTACGCCTAAAAAATGGCAGCACTTGACTCATTCACTGAACAATCGGTTCTATAGCTTACAGTGAAAACTCCGTGATGATTAACTTTGAGAGTTTAACAAATTTATTTTTTGAGATATCTTAGATATGTTTCTAAAATTAATATCGAAAAATGATTTATGATTAAAAATTTTATGTTGTTAAATGTTAAAACATAATTTTTCACTTGCGAGCATTCACTGTAAAATTGTTGATATTTTGTTTTATTTCTGTCTCTTTCCCTCCTACAAATTCCGAAGCACCGATTTTCATTTAATTAACAAGAATTGACAAAATTGTTGAGATAAAAAAGAATTAATGCATTCAACATGATTTATAAAAATTAATGTTGCAGTTTGTCTGTAAGGCAATCGATAAATAAATTTAGTGATCGTCAATTAAACCGATTTCTTTGTTCCCACACATCAAGCGTTGCTGCATTTTCAAATTTTTATACGTTAACAACAAGTGGATAGTTAACTTGACTTTTAAAATTCATTTTTCATAATCAGGTTCAACATGAAATTCCTTGCTCGGCTTCACCTCATAAAATCTTTTGTTTACTTTGACAAGATCCTAAATTTTAGAAACTTCACCCCTCTGGGTAACAAGACTATGTCATTGATACATAAACAACAAAAAATATTTTTTTGTGATGCTCGTTCTCTGGGGGTAAATAAAAATCTTGCTATTCTTCGACACTTAACATTTAAATCCTTTGCTACTCGTATTTATTTCTTGAATTCACCTGATTTAAGAAGGAACTACGATAATTTAAAATTGTTTATCTTCCCTTGTTTTGTGATGATGTGAGGTAGAAGTTGAGACGAGTGAGACACACAAAACGGGTATGGAAATTTGTCGGGACTTTTTTTTTCGATTACAAACAGGAGTTGGGTGACTCTTTGTCGCGTGCGCTCCTTGAAACAAGCTCTAAAATCTGTTGATTATGGACAATGAGTGAGTAGTTGTAATGTTTATTTTCGGGACAAGTGAGAAGTGGTCGAGACCACTTGTTTTAAATTTTATTATCTGTTTTGTCTGGCGGTGCAATTTTATTAGCGTAACAATTTTTGATGTAGTGATTTTGTAGTTTACAAATCCCGCAGCGAAGCTTTGCTGCAAAATTGCAACATTCCAATATCTGATGATAATCAGTTGAGTTAAATATTTATACAGTTGCGATGGTTTCACATTGTAAATATGTATTAATGAAATTACCGTAAAAACGATCGCAAAAGTTTATGAACTTCTCATATAGTAGCAATTATCGAACGTTTGTTAGTTGCAGTTTTAGTGAAGATAATTTCTAAAATAATTTCTTGTTGATACTGTCTGAAAAACGTGCAATGAAATGCCGTATTTCGTCTAGAGCATCCTTATGTGTATTCAAGATTAGAGATGAGAATTACAAAACAACTGCATAATCTCGACATTAATAACTTTTTTTAATCTCGTTGACTTGAATTTCATTTAGAATGAAAGTAAAACAAGCGTAAAGTGCAAGAGAAAAAACATTTTAGAAACGAATAAAAAGATAAGATGCTTTGAAAAGTAAGTTATGTGAGTTGCTGTGTATGTGAGAAATTGGATTCTCACGAATATTTTGTAATTTGCAATATTGTAGGTTGAAGAAGGAAAAGAGAAGAAATTTGTATTCAATTTCATCTCTTTCATAATCATCGACGATGATGACGAAGGTGCAAAGTGCATTTAAGATTCTCTCGATAATTGAATTAACTTCAGTTGCTACTGCAATGTTTTGTCGGTTATCTTCATACATTAACTTTTCATGTATTTATGCATAAAGTTTTCCGTTGAACGACGCGTTAATTCAGGCTAAATTTATAAAATGTTCATTTCGAAGAATAGAAAATGGAATGGGCGAAGAATAATTTTCATTACATAAATTTTCTTTAATAAGGATACAAAATTGAAATAGATAAATTCTCAGAATAATTGCGATTCATTCAAGTATTTCAATTTTCATTTCTTCATAAATTTTTAAATTTAATAAAGAATTCTAAAGAAATTCCAGGAAGTTTCGACAGTACAAGTAAAATTAGCAAAAGAATGAAGTTTGACGTATTCGGTCGAGACGTGATGGAGCTTTGAAAAAGAAACCTTGCGTTTCAAGTGGAATGCAACTAGGGTTTTCACCATGACGTCAGGCCTGTCGTCAGGCCTGACGGCATGACGACATGGTGAACAAAAGCATGACGACATGCCATCAGGCCTGACGTCATGGTGGATGTTTTTTTGTATGGGGG